CAGCACGGTCACATGACTTCACGTCACCACCGCTAAGCTAAAGGAGGCTAATGTTGGGCTATAAAGGAACTACAGCACGGTCACATGACTTCACGTTAGCACCGCTAAGCTAAAGGAGGCTAATGTTGGGCTCTAAATGAACTACAGCACGGTCACATGACTTCACGTCACCACCGCTAAGCTAAAGGAGGCTAATGTTGGGCTATAAAGGAACTACAGCACGGTCACATGACTTCACGTCACCACCGCTAAGCTAAAGATGGCTAATGGCGGGCTATAAGGTACTACAGCACGGTCACATGACTTCACGTCACCACCGCTAAGCTAAAGGAGGCTAATGTTGGGCTATAAAGGAACTACAGCACGGTCACATGACTTCACGTCACCACCGCTAAGCTAAGGTGGCTAATGTTGGGCCATAAAGGAACTACAGCACGGTCACATGACTTCACGTCACCACCGCTAAGCTAAAGGTGGCTAATGTTGGGCCATAAAGGAACTACAGCACGGTCACATGACTTCACGTCACCACCGCTAAGCTAAAGGTGGCTAATGTTGGGCTATAAAGGAACTACAGCACGGTCACATGACTTCACGTCACCACCCGCTAAGCTAAAGGTGGCTAATGTTGGGCTATAAAGGAACTACAGCACGGTCACATGACTTCACGTCACCACCGCTAAGCTAAAGGTGGCTAATGTTGGGCTATAAAGGAACTACAGCACGGTCACATGACTTCACGTCACCACCGCTAAGCTAAAGGAGGCTAATGTTGGGCCATAAAGGAACTACAGCACGGTCACATGACTTCACGTCACCACCGCTAAGCTAAAGGTGGCTAATGTTGGGCTATAAAGGAACTACAGCACGGTCACATGACTTCACGTCACCACCGCTAAGCTAAAGGAGGCTAATGTTGGGCTATAAAGGAACTACAGCACGGTCACATGACTTCACGTCACCACCGCTAAGCTAAAGGTGGCTAATGTTGGGCCATAAAGGAACTACAGCACGGTCACATGACTTCACGTCACCACCGCTAAGCTAAAGGAGGCTAATGTTGGGCTATAAAGGAACTACAGCACGGTCACATGACTTCACGTTAGCACCGCTAAGCTAAAGGAGGCTAATGTTGGGCTCTAAATGAACTACAGCACGGTCACATGACTTCACGTCACCACCGCTAAGCTAAAGGAGGCTAATGTTGGGCTATAAAGGAACTACAGCACGGTCACATGACTTCACGTCACCACCGCTAAGCTAAAGATGGCTAATGGCGGGCTATAAAGGTACTACAGCACGGTCACATGACTTCACGTCACCACCGCTAAGCTAAAGGAGGCTAATGTTGGGCTATAAAGGAACTACAGCACGGTCACATGACTTCACGTCACCACCGCTAAGCTAAAGGTGGCTAATGTTGGGCTATAAAGGAACTACAGCACGGTCACATGACTTCACGTCACCACCGCTAAGCTAAAGGAGGCTAATGTTGGGCCATAAAGGAACTACAGCACGGTCACATGACTTCACGTCACCACCGCTAAGCTAAAGGTGGCTAATGTTGGGCTATAAAGGAACTACAGCACGGTCACATGACTTCACGTCACCACCGCTAAGCTAAAGGTGGCTAATGTTGGGCTATAAAGGAACCACAGCACGGTCACGTCACCACACAAATAATTGTACAAAAACCTTGAAATATGGAGAAATACCAGCTTGTACCCATTTCTAAGAACCGTTCAATAATTTCTTAAAACTGTAAGAACTTCACAATCAACAGTTGCTAAGAACTGTTCGAATAATTTCTAATACCTGTCAATAATTTCTAAGAACTGTACGATAATTTGTTAGGACTTTCTTAAGAATTTAAAAGAATTTTCTAACGACTGAACAATCATTTCTAAGGACTTGACGATAGTTTATAAGAACTGTACCCATTTCTAAAGACTGTCCCATAATGTCTAAGAAACTGTTCAATCATTTCAACGAACTGTACGATAGTTTCTAAAGAATTAATAATACAAATACATTTCGAATAACTGTACCAACATTTTCTATATTTCTAATCACTCTTCAAACGTTTCTTAGTGCCAGATGAACGTCCCGATGGCCAGTCCGCCACTGGTGCCAGATGAAGGTTCCTGAGGTCATGTGATGCATCCTCCTCCAGGTGTTGGCAGGGAGGACCGTGGGCCGGCTGCAGAGAGGTGCTCTGGACTCTGAGAGTCACTCAGAGGAGACTGAATAACTGAGGCTAATAATCCGTACAGAAATAAAAGTATTGCACGCAGAGAACGGGAAGAAGACACTGTGGGCGTCTGACAACAAACAGAGGACACATGTATATAGTTTATAAGAACTGTTCAATCATTTCAAAGAACTGTACGATAGTTTCCAGGAACTGTAAAATAACCTTTAAGAACTTTGCAATCAACAATTGCTAAGAACTGTACGAATAATTTCTAAGAACTGTACGATAATTTCTAAATAATTAATAATACAAATAAAAGTATTGCACGCAGAGAACATGAAGAAGACTGACAACATTTATATTTTTTTTTTTTATTGTACAAACAATGAATGCATTGTCTTTCCCTTTCTGAAATACATCTGAAAACCACGCTGCATTTCATCAGTGACGAGTATCTGTCTCAACTTCACTTCTGGATTGTTTCACAAACATTTTGGACAAAAGGATCTAAATGGATAGAAACCATTCATATGTATTGTCTTCATGGTCGCAGCAGGAGGACGAACGGGAGCTCCTCAAGGATCCCACGGATGGTAAACATGTTGCAGCTTTAGTTTGATCATTTATCAAAATAACTGCACAGAAATGTACATTTTCTGAGCGGTGCAGAGTCCGCTTCTGTCCCTCCATGTTAAAGGTCGTTTAAGGTTTATTGTCCGTATGATTAGTTTCCCGCCCTTTATTTACAGGGTGTCCGCGGGGTCTTAAAAAGTATTAAAAGTTGATAAATCAATTTAGAGAAAATTAAGGCTATTAAAAAGTATTAAAAAGTATTAAACGGCATTTTCCAAGGTATTAAGAAGGTCCACAGCAACGACAACATGAAACACCCTTTATTTTACTGAAACAACATGTCGGGAAACCCCCTCAAGGTGGCCCCATGCATAGCGTGCCATACAATGCTGCTTCTTATTTTAAGTTTCGTTGCCTTGCTCCGCTCTGTGGGGGGGGGGGGGGTTATCTGCTGGTGGACTACCTGAGAGATCTACAGCAGGAGAACACGCCGTCCATACATCCATGCGTCCACCGCGGAGAATAAACAGAAGGACAACCATGCTTCGAGGTCTTCTTCGCTGCTTTTGGTGTATTTTGTGGCGGCAGCAGCGCAACTTACAGGCCTGGCATATGTACTACAGCGTTTCCAGCATTTCCAGCGGTCTAGTGTGAACGGACGCGTTAATGAATCGAATGCGTGTGAACGGAAGACTTTTTTGCGTTTGCGTTTGACTGTATGCGTCCTCGTGGGGCCGGGGTCTAAGCCAAACTATATCCGGTCACAGAGATCTGCTATTTTAAAGTAAAGTCAACACATATCGACCCTAAATATAGTCTATATTAAGAACGAGAAAAGTCTTAACATATATATGGTTTTTTGTAAACATATGACAAATGTGTGAGGGTGATGACGTCAGAGCATCGTCCTATGTGCCGGGCTTAGCCCCGACAGCCCCAGCCCAATTGAACCCCTGGGTATTTGTGAGGGAGCTCCTATATGGCATTACCCCGCTGAAGCTCACCAACGTTTCATATATTTCATAGTTCAAAGTTTTGTCAATAGTTTTGTTTATTGGTCAAATACTGGTTTCTACTGGTTTCTGAGGAGTTTGACTGGAATGAAAGAGCACAGAGTACAGAAGCAACAAAGCAGCATCCTATCTTACAATCAATATAGTAAATGTGAGGTAAAGTGTCGCCAAGGTAACCGGTTAGAACTCAAAGTTGCGATGAGGTCTTAAAATGTATGGAAAGGGTCTTAAAAAAGGTCTTAAAGGTATTACATTTGACTTCAGGATTCCTGCAGATACCCTTTATTTAATAGTACGATGAATTCCAGATAATGCCTGTTTTTTGTTCTGTTTGTGGAATTAATCTCATTTGCCAAATTGAGGCTGAATCAAAGGTTTTCCGTGAGGCAGAGATAAAAAGATCTAATTTTTATAAACCACGACCTTACAACGCAATAAAGTGAAACCATTGAAGTGAGTCCAGTCTCAGTCTCTGGCTGGAAGACAACTCTCTGCCTCTCTTGGATAACTGGACTCAAACTATCACACGTTACTTTTATAATCAATTTAATATGTAATATTCCATTCCTCACACACTTCCGTATATATGATATCCTGCTTTATATGTTGTTACTGTAACTTTGTATTTCAACATGTATATTTTCTACTTTTTTTAATGCCATTTTATTTCTATTTGAGATGTTTACATTTCGGATTGTTTATTTCTAGTCTTTTAATGTCTCTAATGTAAAGTAGGCCAATGGGCAACATGGCCCACTTTGAGGCCAGCAGAAGACCTGAGTACGGTCTCCAGGACTTTCTGCCAGGTGACTGTGTCTTCGCTGATGACTGCGCGCTCTACATGCGCCAGAAGAGGAACATTATCCTCACAAGTTCAAACATTTATGGAAAATGATTGAAGTTACTCTTCTTTGCTTGTTGACTTGTCTGGCTTTGCATGATTCACACCAAATGTAAAAACTGCAGCAATATTTTTACAAAATGAAGGAATAATGGGAACATACTCCAAACTGATATGTAGACTTTAATCTTTGGGAATATATTTGAGGAGTAAATGTGGATGAAACTTAGTCAAGCGGACTAAAGACACTTTATATACACCACGTTTTATTAAAGGGGCAAAACACATAAAGAAGAAATAAGACATTGTTTGTCCTGAGATGTTTAGATCTCTATTTCATCCCAAGAAGCGTCTTCCCAACAATACATATTTTCAAAAACGATCAGGACATTGTTGTTGAAGAGTATTTAAACACCAGAAGATCCCTCCCATCCACCTCCATTGTGTTTGGGTGGTGGTGCTCCTAACCCTGCTGACTTTATCCCAAACTATGAGCATTATTCTTTGATTTCTAAGAACTGACGGAGAGTCTTTCCATCAACACAGAGCTGTTACCAACCTCAGGACTTCTCGCTGCGTTTCTCTCCATGCTGCGACCATAAATGAGAGTTTAATTGCTAAACTTTGGCTGTCACGCCCCGAGCTTCACCGGCCAACTGGCATTATCGTGTTTTTGTATTATCTTTTCTCAAACCGCCAACCATCCACTCATAATGAGTCCAATCTGCCATTCGGAGACTTTTGGAGAGAGATATTTCCGTTCGCTAAACGTTGAGACAATAAAACAATAACGTGAACTACATTCGTCTCAATAACTCCAACACTAATTCAAAATGTGCTCGGGCGTTTTTGAAAGATAATATACATAAAAACAGTTTGTAAATATGTTCAGAATAATCGTTTAATTGGTGTGTAGCTTTCAGAAGAGGAACTACTCTACAGTACTCATAAACGGTTCTGGTACATCCTATAATCTCGTCCCTTTTTGTCACCATATGTTTCCCACCAAGGTGAGCAGGGGGGGGGGGATTGGTTTGTATGTACAGTGGCGGAGACCACCAGGACCCCGTGAAGGCATGAACAAAAGCAACCATTGTAACACTATAGACTAAGGCACATGGAATAGATAATCATCAATATTTACACGTGGCTACCCACACACGGATAGCTCAAACAAACATCACAGTATTAAAAACAGAACGATTCTTATCTACCTTCCTCCCCTCTCTTCCTCTTCCTCGGGTACAGTCTGGCAGCCAGGTCGATGATACAGTAGAATCACATCAGCGTCCTCTGATTACCCAGGAGCCTCTGGGGTTTCAAAGCATCACGTGATTATCCGTGATTATCTTTACTTCGGCTCGGGGAGTTTAGCGGGTTCAGGTTTGGAGCCTTTTCCATGGAAAGGCACATTTATGTTAAGATAATAAAACATGGTGAGTTGTTGCTACTTTTCTGATTCAAAGGTCCAGGAGAAAGCGGGGAGGATGGGAATGATGTAGATATTTTAGAGAAAGAGACACCGAGTGGGCAGAACAACTGAAATGTTCCAGAACACGAAGTCAGAAGGAGCTTCTGTAATGGCTCTTAAGTTGCTTCCACACCGTCACAGAGGAGAGTTTGACTGCCTCGTCGTTTGTGTTTAACCGATCACACGGCAGAGAGGAGGCGGGAACTCTGGAGGGAGTAAGATCCATTACGGCTAAGCTACGCTAACATTAGCACTACGACACTCAAAACTACGTCATATAAGCATAAATAAATCAGCAACAACCGACACACGGAAAAAACGTTTGCTTCGAGTCCCGTGTGAACGCACCGTCAGAAGTCTTTGAAGCGTCCTGGAAAAGAGTTCTAGAATAGAAGAAGAAGTCTTTGGGCGAAACGTTGTGAAACCCTTAAATAACCTGGTGGGCGGTTCCAGAAGAGCGCGCGGCAGCTTCCACCGTGGCGCTTCATGAGGGAACCTTTAACAGAAGCTGATGGGAGGATGGTGTCACAAGCTTTTCTAGAACGTTCCAGGGAGGAAGGGTCTGCCCTGGGTCGGCGCTCTAGAAGCGGGTGCTGTGGGCGAAGCTGTCGGACATGATGATGTTCTTGTAGAAGTTGTCGGAGCGCGTGGAGCAGTAACCTTTCACCTTGTCGATCATCTGGCTGACGGGGAGGATGGAGGACGAGGAGGAAGAAGAGTTGGGCTCCGCCTCTGAGGAGGAAGAGGAGGAGGAGACACACTTGGGGCTGGTCTGGTTGGAGAAACATTTATCTGGGGGGGGGGGAGAGAAGAAGTGGATTATTATCTGATCTCAATGTGAGGTGGAGACCCTATCACAGATTTAATTAAGGTGGTATGCTCTTATACATATTTTATAAAATAATGTATAATATTTCCCAGCAAGAAAACACGACAGGTTCAACCTTTCCCAGAGAGCAAAGCAGGGAGAGGAATGGGAGGGAGGGACATCTTATGATTCTGTGTTCATCATATATGTTCACGGGGAGAGATGTTGATGCAATAACCTCTGGCACCACCCGCTTCACACCAAACATGGCCTGGAGCCAGCCGTCTACAGAATGTGTTATTTATGAAAACATCTAAAAAGGTCATGGAAATGTATCTTGAACATATATGTGACCACACTAAGCTCTCGGTCCTGGGGGTTTTGATTTAATCGGGGATCCTTTTCATGGAAACATGCTTAGAAAAGGTTCTCAGATTCTGCTGTAGGTACTTTGGGTCAATAAGTACGGAGGCCGACGGGCAGAGATGGGGACTCGAGTCGCACTTAAGTCGCACACAGAGACTTCAGACTTGACTTGGACTCCTGCTCAAAAGACTTCGGACTCGACTTGGACTCGTGTTTTGGGGACTCGTGAACAATCATTGTGTTTTCTATTTTTGGCGTATTAAAAGTGGGGTAGGTAAGTTTGAGAAACCGGCTCGAGTGCGCTAGAATTTGAAAATACACAACCGGAGAAAATCTGCCACTTCCTCACAGAGCCCCTCCTCCAACACACACGAACGCGCACATGACCAATGAGGGCACGAGATAAGTTTGTGCCCCGATGGGAGGCTGACAGGCAGGTAGGCCATCCAGTTACTTTAGCCGGGCCGGCTATCGGGATGTTAAAAGCATTCCATGGAATATAACAAAAAGTGTATCTCAGCCGGTTTCTCAAACGTACCTACCCCACCTTTAACATTAACATCATGGTAACACCATGGCGACCGGCGGCACACCTGCAGCTGTACCGCTTGTAATTAGGTTCAACTATAACAACTTCGAACAAAACGCCGGCGGCACCAACAAAAGGAGCGCACACTGCAAAGTCTGCAATATTAAAATCAAGGATGCTGGTGCAACAACGTCACATTTCATCAGGCACTTGAAAACTCACCCGTAGAGGTCAGTCACATTAACGCATATGGACGGTTAGCAAACATGTTTAGCTCAGCATCAGCTATGTAATGTTAACTTAGCTTGCTACTAGCTTTGTAACTGAATATTTGAAAAGAGGAGTGAATGTTTGCTTGTCACACTTGTTTGCGTTGAGTGGCGTTGACATCCAACTCTTGACATGACATAAAAAAGGTCGGTAACGTTAATCATTACGTTCCGCTGCCACCATCTACTGGCTAACGTTAAACGTAGAAAAATACATAGTTCCATACATAAATACATCTGTCGGTTTATAGGCAGGTTACAGGTTTATTGTTGACCACGTAACGTTAATGTTACAGGTTTATCAGGTTACCATTACACTGGGTTTGAGTGAGAGGATAGAGGAATATGTTTATTTATAGTAGACTTAAAAGATGTCATTAGAGACCCAGTGTAATTAAACAATACGGTTGCAGAGGTCAAATTTGAACATTTTTGTCCACTGGCCAAATGGCTAGCCTAGTGAATGTTGAAATGTTACCAGCCACTCAATAGATTGCCATTGTTATTTGTGGCTGGTGCGTGCAACATACAGTACCAGCCACTTGCATGATTTACCAGCATCTGGCTGGTAAATGGTGTTAATGGTAGATATCTCTTTTGGAACAGGTCATGTTTTAATATCACCAGTTCAGTATATTTCTGATAATATTGCAGCAATAGTTTTTTTAGTTGCAAATGGCACAGAACAAATGTTTACTTTGAAGTACTTTTAACACAGTTTCCCTGCGGGGGATTAATAAAGTATTTGTGATACTGATTTCTGATTCTGAAGTGTTTTGCTTATAAGTTGTTTGCATTTAGCTAAAGTGTGATGTTTGTCCTCACATTGCAATAGCCTGTTTAAAGTGATCATATAACAAACAACTAATCAGTACTGATACTGTATGCTAATAGATATAGGAGTGATAATAATACAGTCAATGCTTTGAATGTCTTAGATATAGCTGTGCAGTATTCTTAACAGACTGGATAGCAGCAGACAATAGAAGGCTTATTACAACCAGAAGAGACATGAGACTTTTATTTTTTAGAGACTTGAGACTTGACTTGGACTCGTGACCAAAGACTTGTGAACATCTCTGCCGACAGGTGCAAACACAATACAACAAAACTCTTCCATCAGGAGAAACAGATGCAGATATAAAAACCCAAATGTTCCACATGAAGAAACATCTTCAGCAACACATGCAGCGTTTAGAGAACATTCAGCAGCTTGAGGAGACATGCGCAGCTGGAGACCAGGGGACACTAAAGAGTGACGCACACAGCTGGGAGACCAGGGGACACTAAAGAGTGACGCACACAGCTGGGAGACCAGGGGACACTAAAGAGTGACGCACACAGCTGGGAGACCAGGGGACACTAAAGAGTGACGCACACAGCTGGGAGACCAGAGGACACTAAAGAGTGACGCACACAGCTGGGAGACCAGGGGACACTAAAGAGTGACGCACACAGCTGGGAGACCAGGGGACACTAAGAGTGACGCACACAGCTGGGAGACCAGGGGACACTAAAGAGTGACGCACACAGCTAGGAGACCAGGGACAGTAAAGAGTGACGCCACAGCTGGGAGACAGGACACTAAAGAGTGACGCACACAGCTGGGAGACCAGGGGACACTAAAGAGTGACGCACACAGGCTGGGAGGACCAGGGGACACCTAAAGAGTGACGCACACAGCTGGGAGACCAGGGGACACTAAAGAGTGACGCACACAGCTGGGAGACCAGGGGACACTAAAGAGTGACGCACACAGCTGGGAGACATGGGACACTAAAGAGTGACGCACACAGCTGGGAGACCAGGGGACACTAAAGAGTGACGCACACAGCTGGGAGACCAGGGGACCTAAAAGAGTGACGCACACAGCTGGGAGACCAGGGGACACTAAAGAGTGACGCACACAGCCTGGGGAGACCAGGGGACACTAAAGAGTGACGCACACAGCTGGGAGACCAGGGGACACTAAAGAGTGACGCACACAGCTGGGAGACCAGGGGACACTAAAGAGTGACGCACACAGCTGGGAGACCATGGATACACTAAAGAGTGACGCACACAGCTGGGAGACCAGGGGACACTAAAGAGTGACGCACACAGCTGGGAGACCAGGGGACACTAAAGAGTGACGCACACAGCTGGAGACCAGGGGACACTAAAGAGTGACGCACACAGCTGGGAGACCAGGGGACACTAAAGAGTGACGCACACCGCTGGGAGACCAGGGGACACTAAAGAGTGACGCCACACAGCTGGGAGACCAGGGGACACTAAAGAGTGACGCACCACAGCTTGGGAGACCAGGGGACACTAAAGAGTGACGCACACAGCTGGGAGACCAGGGGACACTAAGAGGTGACGCACACAGCTGGGAGACCAGAGGGACACTAAAGAGTGACGCACACAGCTGGGAGACCAGGGGACACTAAAGAGTGACGCACACAGCTGGGAGACCAGGGACACTAAAGAGTGACGCACACAGCTGGGAGACCAGGGGACACTAAAGAGTGACGCACACAGCTGGGAGACCAGGGGACACTAAAGAGTGACGCACACAGCTGGGAGACCAGGGGACACTAAAGAGTGACGCACACAGCTGGGAGACCAGGGGACACTAAAGAGTGACGCACACAGCTGGAGACCAGGGGACACTAAAGAGTGACGCACACAGCTGGGAGACCAGGGGACACTAAAGAGTGACGCACACAGCTGGGAGACCAGGGGACACTAAAGAGTGACGCACACAGCTGGGAGACCAGGGGACACTAAAGAGTGACGCACACAGCTGGGAGACCAGGGGACACTAAAGAGTGACGCACACAGCTGGGAGACCAGGGGACACTAAAGAGTGACGCACACAGTAGGGAGACCAGGGGACACTAAAGAGTGACGCACACAGCTGGGAGACCAGGGGACACTAAAGAGTGACGCACACATTTGGCACCTTGGTGGCGTTCAGGGTGATAAAGCTGAACAACTGTCTCCGTTGTTGGAAACGTACCTAAAATGTTGTCTCGTCTTATTTAACAAAGTGGTCACATGACTCCTTCTGATGTGACTGCAGATCTGCTGTAAGCTAGCTAGCTAACGCAGCTAACCTAGTCATTTCAGACATACTGACAAACTCTTACGGCCCCTCCACACTACAGCTTCGACAGCTTCACTTTGAATGGGGTGACGTCACTTTTCGCCGAACTGCATTGTGGGAAGCAGAGCCTGGCGTTTCAGGCTGCAAAAGTTGAGCAATGTTCAACTTTTGAAGCTTCTGAAGCTTTCGGTGGAAGCGCCAATCAAATCATATGCCAGTACAAGCTCTAGCCAATCAAACCGCTGCTTGTGTGTCAGGGGCGGGAGATTCATGTGATTGGTTGTTGGTCGAGCTTCAGACACGCCCAGCTCCAAGCTTTTTTTGAAGCTGTAGTGTGGACGGGCCGTAAGAGTTATGAGACGACTAACTCTGAGACGGAGACAGCCTCACAATGGAAGTCACATGTCAGATCCATTCCCAATGCAGTGTCACAAACCTTTTGAGCAGTTTCATTGGACACCTGAGCTGGATGAAGAACAACTGCTTCCCACTCTCCCAATATAATCTCTGTGGGAAGAACTGGGGCGATGGATGCAAAGACATGTTGCTGACCATCAGATATCTTTTCCCTTCTTGGTATCAGTGCTCTGACTTGAACTGTTTCTCTTCTCAGTCTGGTTGGTCTGATGTTCTTTCACTTTTGTTTCTCTTCTAGCTGAAGTTGCTTGGTTTGGCGTTGCCCCCTCCCGAGGCTGAGTGAAGCCTCGCTGGATCCTGAGGAAGCTCCAC